GAAGAAGACCAACAACCGAACCACGCTCTGACCAGCGGAGACCAACGACAGAGCCACGCTCTGACCAGCAAAGGGAGCCACGCTCCAACCCACGGGACCAGCCCGCAGAGCCACGCTCTGACCAACGAAGAACGACGAGGGAGCCACGCTCCAACCACGAAGAGCCATCCACGGCACATCACTCAGAGCCACGCTCTGACCAGCGAACCACATCGACGGAGTCACACTCCAACCACCACGAAGAGCCACCAACGGCACACCACTCAGAGCCACGCTCTGATCAGCGAAGCACATTGACGGAGCCACGCTCCACATCCGAAGAGCCACCAGGGGTACCTCATGCAGAGTCACACTCTGATCAGCGAAGGACGACAACGGAGTCACACTCCACCCACGCCGAGAAGCCACAGACGACAGCCCAAGGAGAGCCACGCTCTACCCATCGAGGGCAGCCAAGGGAGCCATGCTTCGAACTCGAAGACCAGCCAAGTACCTCACCTCGAGCACAGCTTCGAGACACAGCTTCACCAGCGATGCAGAACCAGCCGCCCTGTTGGAGACAGGCTTTGCCCGTGGCAGACGCCACAGCCGCGCAGCGGAATCCTTTCCGTGCCTCCATAAAACGTGTCCGCTTCCAGGATCACGTCGAGGAAACGCCGGAGCAGAGCCCGCCCCTATGCGGAACCGTCAATTCGGTGAGTCATCCCACAGATGATCAAGTCTCATTCCAGACGGAGGAAGCCGAGACTCAGGACTACCCTGAACCAAAGACAATAGATTTAACAAGATGCCTCACGACCATACATTCGTTTTGCAATATGAGGCTGCATTTTTGATGGCAACGACAATCGCGTTCTAAAAATAGAATGCGTTTGCTTGTATGAGTAAACACAAGAACACGCATGCGCGTATGTGTGCGAGAATATGTGTGCGCCAGCGCGCAAGCACCAAAAAATCAAATTTTTATGTTTTGTGCTGGCGACCGCTTGTTAGGAGGCGATGCACAGTAGCGCCTCTCGAACAATTAGCTTTGCAAAAATCGAAAAAGTCATGTTCGCAAAAACGATTTTAACCATACTTATTTGACAGAACATTTCTCAAGGATTGAGAATCTGTAATGAATTCAATTAAATTTTTTTTTTAATTCTAAGTGTAACCGCCACAAAACCGTGAGCGCTACAGTTAGCATATTTTTTTTTATTATTATGCTGTCCATATATATATTTTACAACAATTATCTGTCCGTTCAAATTATTAGGTTATCTTATTTGGTTCAAAATATATGATTTTTGCAACGCTAAATGAGAAAAGGCGCTACTGTGCGATAGTAGCGGCAGCAAAAACAGCTGATCTCGAATATGGATTGTATTTGTTTACAAGTTCAATCCAGAAAATCAGTTAACTAAATTTTATTTTCATCTGTATGTATATTTTATAATTTTATTATTAAATAAATATGCAAAATAATACAAATAATTGATTTAAATACATTCATAATTACATATGTATTTACAATTATTTAATTCAATTGACTAATAAATTAACAATATATTATTATGATTCATATATTATAAAAAGTTCATTTATAAATCAATAGGTATATAAAATTAAAGAGATGTTAAAATAAAAAATAAATTTATTTGCGAAATTGGCCTTCTGAGGCCCGTTTGCACACAAACACCCGGCGGCGTCGCTGAATGCGTACAAGAGAGCGGCTGGCTCTAGAGCGCTCTCTTCGCTGGCTTTTGAACAAAATTTAAGAGAGCCTGGAGCCAGTTCAAAAGCCAGCACGAAAAAATCGTCTGCAAAAAAATCGTATGGCGTTATTTATCTTATAGCTCTATTGTCTTTGCCTGAACCCTGGGTGAAGGAGTTTCATGACCAGGAACTGGCCAAATTTGATACTCTTTCAGGGGTATCACACATAGCAGAGCATCGCATCTTCATGCGCACCGATTGACCCCTTAAACAGCGGTACTTTCCAAGGTATCCAGCCATGAGGGCCGTCATTGACAAGCAGATCAATGAACTCCTTCCAGACGGACGCATTGAACCACAGCGCGCCCATCGTAATCGCGGCCAAAAAAGAATGGCGAAGTCCGCATGTGCGTGGACTATCGCCAACTCAACGAGAACTCCGTGCCGGACGCATACCCGCTTCCGAGGATCCATCAGATCTTGGAACGACTCCGGAACGCGACGTTGGACCTCAAGAACGGGTATTGGCAAATCCCAGTGGCCCCGGACAGTCGGGAGTGCACGGCGTTTACCGTTCCCGGAAGAGGTTTGTTTCATTGGCGAGTCATGCCCTTCGGTCTCCACTCCGCCCCCGCCACGTTTCAACGCGCCTTAGACACGGTCATCGGTCCGGATATGGAACCCCATGCGTTTGCATATCTGGATGACATCATTGTCATCGGTTCCACACTGGAGGAGCATGTCGCCAATCTTGGAGAAGTCTTCAGACGGAAACCTGCGCCTCAACAGAGGAAAGTGTCATTTCTTCCAGCTCCGCATCGTGTACTTGGGTCACGTGATCAGCGAAGCCGGAATCCACACGGATCCGGACAAGGTCGCTGCGATCCGTGGACTCGCACCGCCGACGAACCTGAAGGAGCTACGCAGGTGCCTGGGAATCGCTTCCTGGTATCGCCGCTTCGTGCCGAACTTCGCCGATGTTGTGGCACCCATGACATCGCTGCTGAAGAAGGGCCACAAGTGGGAATGGACGCAGAGACAAGACCAGGCCTTCCAGGAGTTGAAGACGCTGCTGACCGAAGCTCCCATTCTAGCTTGCCCAGATTTTGGGGAAAAGTTTGTGCTACAGACTGACGCCAGCGATTACGGAATCGGAGCCGTATTCACGCAGACCATCGAAGGAAACGAGAGGGTGATAGCGTACGCCAGCCGCCGGCTCAACACTGCTGAGAGGAACTACTCAGTGACTGAGAAGGAGTGTCTCGCCATCGTCTGGGCGATTCGGAAGATGCGGTGTTACATCGAGAGATACCGCTTCGAAGTCCTCACAGATCACCACTCCTGAAGTGGTTGAACTCCACCGACAATCCAACAGGCAGGATTGCCCGTTGGGCACTGGAGTTACAACAGTATCAGTATGATGTCCATTACCGGAAGGGGGCCCAGAACTTAGTGGCCGATGCCCTTTCTCGCCAACCGCTGCCCATCGTGCAGCAAGCGGAGGTACAAGGAGTCAACTGTAAGTGGATCACGAGGATGTTCCAGAAGATTCGGGCTGAGCCAGCAAAGTTTCCGGATTACCGAGAGGATAATGGCCAGCTATATCGTCGCCTTGGACTCCGACCTGAGGAGGAGGAGTACACGCCCTGGAAACTTTGCGTAGGATCGGATTACCGTCACCGAGTACTCGAAGAATGCCACGATCACCCCACTACCGGTCATCTAGGAGTCCGGAAAACCAGCACTCGCGTGGCCCAGCGCTATTACTGGCCTGGATTGTTCCGCGAGGTGGCTCGGTACGTTCGCCGTTGTCCCACTTGTCAGCGATACAAGGTGAGCCAAGAGAAACCTGCGGGTCAAGTGTTTACTCGACAGGTCGAGGAGCCGTTCCACATCCTATGCACAGATTTCGTCGGCCCACTGCCGCGGTCGAAACAAGGCAACACGATGCTTCTAGTGTTCCTGGACGCCTTCAGCAAGTGGGTGGAGCTAGTGCCGCTTCAAGAAGCTACCGCAACGCATCTGGAGCGAGCCTTCAGAGAACGGATCTTGAGCCGATTCGGTGTTCCCCGGACATTTGTCTGCGACAACGGTACACAGTTAACGGTCGCTCGTTCCAGAAGTACTGCCAGTCCCTCGGAATGGAACTGCAGCACACGGCGCCCTACACTCCGAGGCAGAATCCTACGGAAAGGGCAAATCGAACGATCAAGACGATGATCGCTCAGTACTTAAATGGAGGCCAGCAGAACGAATGGGATCAACTCCTGCCAGAGATATCACTGGCCCTCAACAGTAGTGTCTCTGACACTACCGGATTCAGCGCAGCATTCTTGGTACAAGGCCGAGAACCGCGACTGCCAAAGACGAGGCACCCCAGAGATTACCCCGACAGAGCGAAGCGAGCAACTCCGGAACATTTTCGGCGTCGTCCGAAACAACGCTGACCGCGCCGCCGCCGAGCAGAGCCGTCACTACAACCTGCGCCGGAGGACACGGAGACCACCAGTTGGATCCATGGTACTGGTACGCCGACACGCCCTATCCAACGCGGCCGAGGGCTTTGCCGCGAAGCTAGCAGCGAAGTACGAAGGACCCTTCAGGGTAGCGAAGTTCCCATCGCCGAACATCGTGCAACTGCACATGCCAGGAAGCCGACACCGGCGGACCGCCAGCCTGAACCAGTTTAAGCCGTACCGCCATGAAGATGAGGCCGACACCGAAGCCGGAACCCATCGGGAAGACACCGACGCCGAAGACACCACGATCGAAGACGCCGACGACACCACTCTGGGCGCACAGCCAGCGGCCAAGACCGCACGGCGCAGGGGACCCATCCCGCGTTGCCAACACTAGTGACGAGCACCCATGTAGGGGGATGTCCAACGTCCCGAACCCCCTAGTGGGGTGAACATGCGTCTCTTTCCAAAAGGCCGTAGCCGTAGCCAGCCAACCCTAGCCCACTCCGTTAGGTAGGGCCCAGGGCAACTCACTAACACAATCTCCTCTGTTCTTAGTCCTCAGCCAGCCTACCAAGAGGCACAACGAGCCACGCTCCCCACAGGCAAAGCACGCCTGACACCTGCATCTACGCAGAACCACTGCCACGTCTTCGCCAGACCACCGTCGCCACAAGGACGTTAACCAAGCCAGCCGCGTCCCAGAGGCAGCCTCGTCGCCCATAGCGCCGGCCCCTTCCGACCACGGGCTCTACCCGTCGAGGTCGTCACCATCGACGCCGACAACATGGAGGAAGCGAACACCGACACCACGCCGGGCCCCGTCGGCCCTCTACCGAGGGGATGCCACCCCTGGTACCCCTGCGCACCGGCCTCATTGGGCCTCAACGGGCCCCTCGGGAAGTCGTCCACCGTGACGAGGACGAGGAGGAGGCCCACCAGAGCGACGACGCTGGATTCCACCCAGCACCCTTAAGGGGCATGCCGCTCCAGGCACTCCTGCGCATCGGCCACATCGGGCCGCCGGCGCTTCCTCTGGAAGTTGCCCGTGACAACGGCAATGACGAGGAGGAAGTGCCCCTAGACCACAGCTTCGGACCCCTGCGGGTCAACCTCACCCCGCCCCAACGACGCGAGACTCCACCAGGGGATCGCGTACCCGCTGTCGACGTTGGAGATGACTGGATCGCCTCGCTACCAGAGGAGGAGGAGGCGCACCACACCGCCTCACCCCAGCACCCGCCGGACTACGCCATATATGGGCGAGGTGGAAGCCGCCCTGGTCGAGTGCTTCGGGGAAATACCGGAAGGCCTCGACGATTGGGGGGACACCGGCGACAACACGCCGTCAACCATCTCGGCCGACGAGGACGAGGTCAGCCTGGATAGCAGCCAGCCAGAGGCCTCGCGACCGTCGTCCCCGCGTCGGACTCCGCCCCACGCCACCGGACCCACTGATGATGAGTCGGCATCGACCATCTCAGCCGAGGAGAACGAGACCAGCCGGGACAGCGGCAGGACCCATGTCTCCTGGTCGCCACCCCCGCGTTGGACCTCGCCCAGCGTCGCTCAAGCCGGACCATCGCCACGGCAAAGCTGGACGCCACTCACGGCCCAGCCCAGGTCCCCTCCGCCCTCCTACGAGGACATATTTGGCCCGGGGCCTTTTACCGGCCCGCACACCCCCGCTCGCTGCGCCGCCGTCATCTCAAGGCACGACCCTCGGCCTCGGCTGCCCACCATTGCTGAATTGGCCGCAGAGCAGGCGCGTCGAAAAGCGGAGGACCTCCGAGAAGAACTCGGCATCCCACCGGCTGTCCCACCACCCGCGAATGGTCAGCCACCACCGACCCCACGCCGCCGAGCACGGCGCCGAAACGCACCATGGGCAGACGGCCCGCCCAGCTCATCCGACGAATCGTCGTTGGACACCGTCGAAGATACCACCAACCCTCCCCGCTGGGTACCGGCTCCAGCAGAGAGGACCACGCCCAACAGCAGATTGCCGGCCGCCTTGCTCCGCCGGATTCAAGGGCGGCTGGCAATACCAAGGCGACGGACGACCCGGATCTTGGAGGAGGAGGCAAGTCAACGCTTCCGCGTCCAAATAAATCGAAATGGGAAAGTCATCGTCACTCTCCAGCCCTCCCGAAGATGGGATGGGGTGTGACGAAGTCACAAAAGCCCCTATTATAAATAATGTAAATATTAGTGAAGTTCATAGTTAAGTTTAGTAATTAATATAGGGAGATAAATTAGGATAAGGCATATCATATACCACTGCACACACACACACGCACACAGAAAACCGTAGATTTAACGGCACTGTCTGGTTATGCAGCCCGCACCTGATGACCCAGCGGCCAAACGACAACAATAAATTTGCTCTGCGTAGCAAAGCTTCACCTCTCCTCCTGCCTTCCGCATAACATAAACTTTATCACTCTCTCGCTCTATTTGCATAGCTGCCCTTGGCCGTCCGCTAACTGCAGCAAAAATTCTTTTCTCAGTTCGTCTTCGCTTGTCTTCGCCTATGCTTGCAAGCGATCAACTCATTATTTGCGTGTAACTATTTTCGGATCAATTCGGGTCATAAATATCCGCAGCGGCAATTCGGCTCGCCTGCGCTGATAAATAATAGAAAAGTTCGTCTTCGTTTGTCTTCGCCTATGCTTGATAGCGATCAACGAAAATATTTGCCTATAACTATTTTCGGACCAATTCGGGTCATAAATATCCGCAGCGGCAATTCGGCTCGCCTGCGCTGATAAACAATAGAAAAACTTCGTGACTTAATAAATATTGCATTTAATTTATAACGTTTAAAACAAGTGCGTATTTTTTGGGTCAAAAGGAAATTGGACAATTCGACAGCTATTGAAAAAGCTCAATAGCTCAACATTTGGTGTCCCCGACGTGATCTTGGCTATTAAAAACATTAAACATTTCGGTTTAATAATTGTGCGTAAACAATTTCGTTTAGTGCATTGCTTGTGGCTGTACTTTGCCCCGCCGCGCTAAGCAAACGTACATACATATATACATATGCACCGGTACTGTAACGACCCTCTTTTGGGGTGCTCGGCCTAGCTCGCCGGAGTCGGGGTTCGTAGGCAAGAGGAGGGAGGTAATTTTAATACAAGCTTTATTGATCAAGATATAGTGAAACCTGTGGAAAGAATACAGTGTGGTTGCTGCTGTGGTGATGTCTTGTTGATACCCTGGTTGCGGGTAGATCCGTGTCCCGGTCTTCGATGGTGATCAGCCGGCTGGCTGACGATGATACCCGGTGGTGGGTGATGCGACACTGCGACTGGGGTCCAGTGGGTCGACTTGTTGTTACCCTGCTCGGGCGATGCGACGGCTGATAGTCGTCGAGGTGATACCCTGTATCGGTGGTGCGATCGTCGGTGATCGGCTTGTGAGTACCCTGTTCGGGTGATGCGACTGTCTCGTAGTCGGCTTGTGAATACCCTGTTAGGGCGATGCGACTGTCTCGTAGTCGGCTTGTGAATACCCTGTTCGGGTGATGCGACTGTCTCGTAGTCGGCTTGTGAATACCCTGTTCGGGCGATGCGACTGTCTCGTAGCCGGCTTGTGAATACCCTGTTCGGGCGATGCGACTGTCTCGTAGTCGGCTTGTGAATACCCTGTCCGGGCGATGCGACTGTCTCGTAGTCGGCTTGTGAATACCCTGTTCGGGCGATGCGATTAGGGTGCGTGACCGTTGCGGCTGGCCGCAGTCGTGGTCACGGTAGATGGGTCCGGGTGACGTCACTCGAGGTGAGCGATCGTTGTGCCTAAGCTCCCACCGTCCCTAACGCCTTTCTGCTACCCTGTAGCTATCAAGATCCGCCGACAAGGGCCAGATCTTCTCCCCTCCTATGCTTGCTTGGCGAATGTGGCGCACCTCATTCGACGCCCTCCCCTATTCCTGATCTGCCATCCAAGGGCCAGATCAGAACCCCAAGTCTATACTACCTGTACGGCGTGGTCATACGGACCGCGCTCGATACCCTGTTTCCGCGAGATCTGCCATGCAAGGGCCCGACCTCGTCCCACACCTGACTATCTGTGCGAAGTCCGCCAACTAGGGCCAAACTCCGCTCCTCCCAGCTACTTCGTTAGATCCGCCTGCAGGGGGCCAGCTCTAGACCTAACGCTACCTTCACCTTTCCTACCTTCTTTTCTATTAAGGTCCGCCGCCAGGGCCAAACCTTATTCTACTGCTAAGTCTAGGATTAGTACTACTTGTTAACTCACCAGTTGTCTGCTCGGCTGCTCTGCAAAAGTGACTTGCACTGGCCGGTGCGCCGCTTTATATAGCCGGCTGACCGCTGTTCTCCCTTGATCGATAATCGATAACTCCCTTACGGTCGATAGGCAGAGCGTTGCCGGATTGACCGGATCTACTCGATTAGTGTCAGCTGTTCAGGGCTGGGTGCACCATGTTTCGGTTGGCGTTCCCACCTGGTGCCAGTTTGCCCGTACTTCTTGTCTTTTCCCGCGCCCGCCATAATTTGAATCTGGTCGTTTCGTGTTGTTTGTTTTTGTCTTCGTTGTTTGTTTTTATTCTTAATCTATGTCTATTCTTAGTCTATGCTTTTATGTACAAATGAGGAATGTGACTTCATGTCTTGTTGTTGTGTTGTTAATGTCTAAATTGTGTGTACTTCATGTGTTTATCCTTAATCTATGTTTCTATGTACAAATTAGGAATGTGACTTCATGTCTTGTTGTTGTGTTGTTAGTGTTTGTGTTGCGACGTGGGTCGTCGCACTCCCCCCTCCTTTGCCAGTTTCAGTTTAACGTTGTCGTGAAAATCTTTCCCTTTGCCGTGATCCGTGCTTCGTGTATCGTCCCGTTAATTGTCATCTTGATCGTGATCCGTTTTCCCTTTGGTCTTTTGTCCATTTTCCGTTTTATTTCAGCCGCTAATTCCGGGGGTATGTCGCTATCTGTTCCAGGCAGTGTCGTGTTATCCTCGTCGTCCGCGTGAATGATCAGTATGTCCTCGTTTTCTCGTTCCCAGTCCGAGATCTTCTGTGGCATTCTCCATGTTGTCTGTTCAGTTTGTTCGTCCCACAGGTTTTCCCTTTATGTTGCGCTTCTTTCCATGTGTTTCGTGCCGTCATGTTTTTCCTGTTCGATTGTGGGTGTTGCCGTAATCCGTGGGTCTATTGCTGTGTTTCCGAGGTTCTCAATTAGTGTCATTATCGGTGTCTGTTGCATGTCCTTCGTCGCTCCTCGTGTTGTTCTTGGGTCGTTTGCTGTCTCGTTAGCCTTTCTTGTTCCATCCTTTGTTACCGCCGTTGTTGTTCCGTTCTCCTTTGTCCTTTCCGGTCCTTTTTCCTTCACCTGTGCCCTTCCTGCGTCTATTCGTTCCGTGTTCGTGGGTTTGTGCGCTATCCTGGTTCGTGCTTGTGTTGTCATCAGCCATGCTTCGGCGTCCGCTCGCAGTTTCGGCGCTGCCTGGATTGGAGCTGTCTCCGCGGGGCGTTTCGGTGCCTGCCGTGCCACTGGCGCCGCCAGTGTGGTTCTCCTTGGTAGTAGCGGGGCCGCCGTGGTGATCGCCGTCTTTTTCAGGTTCGGTTTTGTCAAGTGTTATTCCCTGTTCTCCTAGGTACTTCTTCATGTTATTTACATATGCTCTCTGCGTCTTGCCCGACCCTACCTCTTTTACTACCGCTATTACTGGTGACTCTAGCTTTATGACCCGGAATGGACCCTCAAACTTCGGTGCGAGCTTGGCTGAAAACTTATCGTAAGCTTTTGACAGTGGGTGTTGTCGAACCCACACCATGTCCCCCTTTTTCGGCTTCCATTCGCGTTTCCTCAGGTTGTATGTTCTGGCTTGGTCCTGCGCTGCTCTTTCCATGTTCTTTCTTGCTAGCTCACATGTTTCCTTGATTCGCGCTATTCTTTCTTTCATGGTCTCCTCGTTTATCGCTGAGCCTTTTGTTGCTTCATCGAACAGACTTCCCGCCAGCCTTGGTTCTCTCCTGTATGTGAGGTATGCCGGGCTGTATCCCGTTGATTCGGATCGGCTGCTGTTAAATGCTAGTGTCAGCTCCGGTAGTACATCGTCCCATCGGTCGTGCCTTTCTCCGGCGAACTGTGCGATCATGGTTTTTATGGTTCGGTTCGCACGTTCTGTCGGGTTTTCTTGCGGTGTATATGGAGCCGTGAATTGCTGGTGTACTCCCCACTTTGACATCTGCATTCTGAATTTGTTGCTTGTGAACTGCACTCCGTTATCTGAGATTAACACCTTTGGAGCCCCGGTGCGTGCCAGTATTTTCTCTCGGAACGTTTTGAGGACTGCGTCTGCGGTCGCTTTCCGTATTGCTGTCAGCTCTACCCATTTTGAGAACTTGTCAATGAATACTAGTAGCATATTGTTGCCGAGACTTCATCTAGGTAATGGGCCCACGAAATCGACGCATAGTGTTTCGCCCGGTGTCTCCGCTATCCGTGTGAGCATTCTTCCGGACGCCTGCTATTGTGACACCTTGTACTGTTGACATGTCGAGCATCGGTCAATATAATTCTTGACTTCCCGATGCATTCCTGGCCAGTAGTATCGCGTAGCAATCCTGTGCTTGGTCTTCCTTACTCCCAGGTGTCCTGCCGTTGCTGTTTTGTGGTTTCTTCCAATACTCTCGCTCGTTGGTGTTTGCCCACGCAGAGTTTCCAAGGTTGTATGTCTTCGTCTGCTGCCCATGACGGTAGGTGCCTATATAACTTGTTGTTTTCGACACAGTAGTCTGGCCACCGACTCGGATTCTTCTCAATGTCTATTCGTGAAATCTGGGCATGCGAGTACGGGTGCTTCTGTCAGTGCCTTTTTTAGTTCTTCTGTTGCTCTCCCGTGTTCTTCTGTCCACTCGAACTTCGCGTTCTTCTTTATCAACTGTGAGGAGTCGTTTGACTCCCCACCAATACTGGCAGCGGCAACAACAACAACGGCCACAACACCGGCCATCCGCGCCAGCAACGACGGCAACAACAACAGCCCTAACGACGGCGACAGCAACGGCCACAACAACGGCCATCGACGTCATCAACGCCGGCCCCATCAGCGGCCAGAGCAGCGGCCAACAGCAGCGGCAATAACAACCATAGCGAAGCCGCGTCAACAGCAGCAACAACAACCGCAGCTACGTCATC